CCGGAAATACCAGAAGTGCCGAAACGGGCCTGTTTTCCGGGCCTTCCGGAAATACCAGAAGTGCCGAAACAGGCCTGTTTTTCGGGCCTTCCGGAAATACCAGAAGTGCCGAAACGGGCCTGTTTTCCGGGCCTTCCGGAAATACCAGAAGTGCCGAAAAACGGGCCTGTTTTTTGGGCCTTCCGGAAATACCAGAAGTGCCGAAACGGGCCTGTTTTCCGGGCCTTCCGGAAATACCAGAAGTGCCGAAACGGGCCTGTTTTTCGGGCCTTCCGGAAATACCAGAAGTGCCGATACAAGCCTGTTTTTCGGGGCCTTCCGGAAATACCAGAAGTGCCGATACAGGCCTGTTTTTTGGGCCTTCCAGAAATACCAGAAGTGCCGAAACGGGCCTGTTTTTCGGGCCTTCCGGAAATACCAGCAGTGCGGAAACGGGCCTGTTTTTCGGCCTCCCGAGGCTACAGAGGCTTCCTTCGATCCTCCAGGAGGGCGAAAACAGACTCAAATGAGCTGAACATCAGCTGGGAGGCATGCACATGTGCGGTGCAGGAGGTAAGTTTGGTTGGGGCTCGTGGGCCCACACAAATGCATGCCACAGGTTTGCCATCATGGGTATAGAATAACAGAGTTGGGGGGAACCTTGGAGGTCATCTAGTCCAACCCCCTGCTAGAGCAGAAGAGTCTACTCCAAAATATTAGCATCTCCCTAGGATCGAACTCACAAACCTCCTGATTGTGAGGCGAAAGCTCCACCTCTAGGCCCCCAGAATGACCCCCTGTTTTAGTCTCAAGTCCCCTAATTGTTTCTGTCACTCTTCTCTGTACGGGTTAGTCCTCGACTTACGGCGCTGCACTTAGTGACTGTCCAAAGTTACAACGGCACTGGAAAAAAAGGGACTTGTGTCTCATTTGTCACAGTTACGACCTGTCCAGCAGGCCCACGATCGCGCGATCCAAATTTGGACGCTTGGCCAATCGGTTCATATTTATGATGTCATCTTCTTTTGTGACCTTTTGGCAAGGAAAGTCAATGGGGAGGAGCCAGATTCACCTAACGACCAGGTTACTCACTGAACCCACTGGCAATGATTCGCTTAGCAACCACGGCCAGGAAGGTCGTAAAATGGGACAAAAATTCACCGAAATGTCTCGTTTAGCGATGGACATTTTCGGCACAGTTGTGGTTTTAAACCTGAGGATTATCTCTGTTCCCTCCAGAGCTGGCTGGAGAATTCTGGGAGTTGAAGTCCACCAGGCTTAAAGTGGCTGAGTTTGGGGACCTCCGCTCTAGAATATCAATATCTTTTTTATATCACGGTGACCGGAACGGGACGCCGAATACCAAATCTTTCGACTCCATCTGAGTTGGAGCGGCTTGGCAAAGCTGAGCTCTCGCGCTGGACTTCAAAAGGCTCAGCTCTGCGGGCGGCTCCACAGCGGAGAACAATCCACAAAGGGCTCAGGGTGGGAGGGGGAGAATGAAACCCCCCCCCAAGCCCCCCCTTTGAACCCTGGGGAGAAGATCCATTACAGCCACTCACGAAACGTTCAGGGACAAAAATGCAATATTGTTGTTGGGGTTTTTTTTTTTGCAAAGTTCGAAGCGAAGTTCTTTTCATCCGTTCCAGCAACTGTGGCGAGGGTTTAATCCCGGTTTAAAATCTTGCAGATTTGGTAGGTGGACCCCTTCCTTTTTTGGGGGGGGGGGTCTGTGATTTTCCTTGATCCTTTTCAGAAAAGCCCAGCCTGCACCCCCTTTCCTCCCCCACCCCCTTTATTAAAATTTTCTAGGCCTCCGAATCTGCATGCAAATTGTTTCCCTTCCACAAAACCTCCTTTGGACCTTCAGCAAATAAATAGATAACACACACACACATACACACACCCCAGATTGTCTCCCCCTCCTCACCTCAGGCCTGGGGGGCCTCTGCTGAACTTCCTGGGCTTGGGGCTTCTGGGGGGCCCTCCCACAATCCGGGCAGTAGTCCTGGGCAGCCTGGGGGCTGGAGCTGATCAGTAGCTGCTGGATGTCTCCCTGAAGGGGGGAAGGTGGAAGAGGCACAGGGGGGGGAGTGAGGAGGGGCTCAGACCCACAACAGCAGGAGGGAGATGGGGTGGGTGGTCTCTCTACCTCAAAGACCCCCTCGTCCAGGATCCGGGCCCCAAACACGGTGATGCCTTTGACGTCCAGCATGGGGCTGTTCCCTCGCGGGAGGGCCACGGTGGCTTCCTTTTTGCAATCCACGAACAACGTCGCCTGTTTCTTCTTCACGCTGAGTGCCAGCCGATGCCATCTGCGGGAGCAAAGCAGGGACCCCCCCCCCAGTTCCCCCAGGCCACACGGACCCCCCCCCCGCCAGCCCCCCCGCGGGCCACACGGGCCGGGTATCCAGAGAAGGGCTGGCAGAATGGCGCCTGGAGCCTGCCAGGCGCCGGCTTATCTGCCCGTCCGTTGTGCCAGGAAAACAGCTTCTGGCCTCCTGGGTGGGTGTTTTTTGGGGGGGGAGAAGCCTCTCCCGCCTTCCTCCCTGGGGAGGGCTCGGGTCTTCCTGCCCCTCCCCTGCCCCCCCCCCCCCCAGATCTTAAATATAAGGAAGAGCGTAAAGCCAGCAGGGACCACGCCTGAGGAGCCGAAAGGCGGACTTCCGTTAGCCGTTGCGGTGGACACAAAGGGCCCAAGAGCCCCGAATTTCCTTCCCCGTCTCCCGTCCTGGTTTTGACAACTCAGCCAGGGCAAAAGGGCCCCTGGGGGGGGGGGGGGGGGTGGGGGGGGAGGAGAGGAGGGAACGGGAACCCCAAGACCGAATGCTCCCCCGGCAGCGTCAGAAGGCCCCCGAGGGCCTCTCGCAGCCCAGGAACATAAGCTGGGGAAATCCCAAAGCCACGGGGCTCCGTGAGGTCAGGCAGTCCACTTCCCGGCCCAAGCACCGAGCCGAAGTCAAGGCCCATTGAGGGGAGGGTTTCCAGCTTCCACTTGGGGCATCTAGCCAAAAAGCCGGGGGGTGGGGGGAAACCACCCCCACCTTCACTATAGGCCAGACACCGGGGACTGCCTTGAGCCAGCTGGGATAGGGAGGAGGCTGGTGGGCGAGGAAGGAGACCCCCGAGAGCCTTGGAACCGGGGGACCCTTCCACCTGCCCCCCCATCTCCCCCTATTTCTCCTTCCTCGCCCCCAACAGAAGCAGAATAGTCCCGTGGGCTATTCTGCACCCCAAGGAGAGCCCTCCAGCCGCTGAAGGCCACGCCCGACCCTCTAGGGACCTGGGAGAGATGGGCTGTCATGCCCTTGTTGGAGTCTGATTCTGAGGGGGAGGTCGAGCAGCTGACAGGGAGTGGGAGTGTGGCGCTGGTGGCTGTGGAAGAAACTGGGGAAGGGCACAGTCCGGCTGGGCATTCAGAGGAAGACCCACCCCGTCTTCGTCCTAGGACACGTAGGGAGGAATGGAAAAGGGAGCAACATGGCTTATGGGAGAGGAAAAGACCCCGATCCCTTTCGTTAGTTTGCAGCTGGGAGAAACAGGATATAAGAATTCTCTTTGTTTGAGGCTTATCTGGGTTTTGGCATCCTCGCAACTGTTGTATCACATCCCCAGGTCATCACACGGGCTTAGATTATAGATCATAGAGTAACCGTCGGAAGGGACCTTGGAGTTCATCTAGTCCAACCCCCCTGCTCGAGCAGGAGAATCAATTCCAAATATCAGCCTCTACCTAGGATCGAACTCACAGCGTCCCGATTGGGACTGGCCGGCTGGTGTTGCTCGCTCGTGGGGTTTCCCCACCCCCCCAGGAGAACCCCCCCATTTTTCCCTGGAGCCGACATGGTGGGGCTGCCTGGGGTCCCCCCACCCCCACCCTGAGGGCAGAGGGCACTTACCTGCCGTCGGTCAGGTTGGCCCCGCGGAAGACCGGGTAGTCATCGGGGGCGGGGCGTCCACTCTGGTCACGGTAGAGGAAACGCGGGGAGCGGCCGAGCTCTATGCCCAGTTGCTGCACACCGTGCCGGTCATAGAGGGAGAGCAGGAAGACTGGACGGCCCGGCTTGGCCTTCAGCAGTGCCATCACGGAGAAGTCCGCGGGGAACTCACCTGGGGGATGAGGGGGAGAGAGCTGGGGAGGGGGCTCAGCTGCAGGTGGGATCCGTGGCCAGGAGGGAAGGGTCTCCAAGGCCAGTTGGAGAAAAGGGATGCCCACCCTGGACAGCGCTGCAGGCCGGAGTTCCCCAGGTGAGGCTTTGCTTGCCGCATTGATGATGGGGGTTGCCGCGTCTCAGTGTTTCTGGCTAAGCGCCTTTTCTAGACTTGGGCAAAAGACCCCGAACTCCCTCTGTCCCACCCGCAGCCTGGGGGGGGAGGAAAGGATACCTGGGAAGAGCTGCCATGTTGGGGCACTGATCTGGGCCCGCCTGGATATCCGGAAGGCCGTGCCCATCCCGGACCCCGCACGCTTCTGCGGGCAGAAGCCTGCCGTCTTGCGGACCCCCTCGGGCTCCTTCTGCAGCTGCAGCGCCGCCAGGACATCGACCACCGGATCTGCTGCAAGAGACAGGGGGAGTGTTGTGGTTAGCCGGCAACAGGGGTGGATGGCTGAGGACAGCGAGGACTCCAACAAGGGGCCGGGACCATCCGGGAGTGAGCTGCTTCCTTCCGGGATTGTGGGGGCTGGCAGCGGCGACGAGGAGGTTCCCGAGGAGCCTGTGCCAAGTACGCACGCACGAAGGATTGCTCGGAGGAAAGAACAGTTACAGCAGCCCAGGCGACGCGGGAGTAAGGCTGCAAGGTCATGGCCCCTCCCTCCTTCAAGCGGATCAAAGCCAGGTTTGGGAAAGCGTGCTTTGCAGACAGCAAAGAAGCTCTGAAGCTCAACGGGCGGACATCTTAGTTCGTGTTTGGAGAACCTTGTCAATGAGTTCTTATCTCTTGGGGTTTTGGGGCAGCCTTGACAAACTCTTTCTTGTCCGAGCTAATCGGTGGAAAGCAGCCTTTAGATGGTTAGATAATAAAACATAATAATAGAACATTTAGATTTAGGATATAATATTTTTTTTTTGGATATTATTTTTATAAAACTTTATTAAGATAGATTTGGTATGATCTTATGATTTATTGCAAAATAAATTAAGTAAATTATAGGTATCTCGTTAAAGTATGAGTTAATAAACTTATAGATAAACGATTTCTTAGTGATGATATTGGGTTATACAATTATTGATTGATAATATGAGTTATTATGTAATATAATTATATTAGCGTTTAGGAAATGGATGCACACACACACAAAAAGTGGTAAACCAACCGATACACTGTTTGTAAATTTATAAAGGAGGATGATGTTTTTATGTTTTATGTTGTATGTCTTATGTTGTTTTGTTTGTTGTTAAAATAAAATAAAATAAAAATTTAAAAAGAGAGAGACAGAATTTGTTATTATTAATCCTTAAATGATGGGGGCTGCTGACTTTGTCTGTGTCGGCTCTTTGGGAGCCCGGTTGGGTCAGAACAGGGAGGGGCAGGCTGGCTGAGGACAGAGACCCCCTCCCCAAATCACCTCCCCTTGGTGTAGCTGCCCTCCCGGACCCTGAGCCCAACAAAGGATGCCAGCTTGCCCTCACCCCCGCAGGCCGCCTGTGCCCGGGAACTGCCTCAGTGCCCGGATCCTGAGCGTGGCGGGGCTGAAGAGGTCCTCCAGCCCCGCCCCCACCCCCCACGCCCCCTGGGACCCTCCTGAGACCCTGTTTTGAGCCTTCGCTCCCCTGCCTGGCACAGCTGGGGAGAGTGCACGGAAAGGCAGCAGCCCCATGGCCGGTCAATGAGACCTCTGAGCGGGGTCAGTATGGATGATCTCTGGAAACCCCCACCGGGAGACTCATCTTATTCCTTGAGGGACCATTTGAAGGTCATGAGGGCACTGAAGGAAGTGACTTACGACCCTGTTTCAGACTTTATGACCGTTGCAGCAGCCACCCCGGTCAGACGATTTTACATTCGGACCCTCGGCAACCGGTTCCCATTTACGACGGGTGCGTGTGTGTGTGTGTGTGTCGCATGATCCCCTTTTGTGACCGTCTGACAAAGGAAGGCCATGGAGAAGCCAGATTCCCTTAAGAACCGCAGTAGAGAATTGAAATATTGGATTGTGAATGTATTCGCGGCAGCCAGAAATTGTCTTTGCAAAAAATTGGAAAAAATGAGAAAATAGCAGCGCAGGAGGAAGTCATTAAGAAAAGAATGGAACATGCTGAAATGAGTAAATTGACATTTGAAATTAAAGAAAAAGAGGATAAACAATATCCCAAGATATGGGATTTATTTTATCAATGGTTAGAGAGAAAAAATATGGAAACGATATATCTTAGATGACTTTGTTATTTAAAGATACTAGAACTATAGAGAATATAACGTAAGGATGTATTACTATTGGATGATGAGGTAATGAATGTTATAATATAAAATAATCCAAAAGGTTGAATATCTTGCATAAAATGATGGAATAAAGAGTTATAGTCAAATAAATGATTAATGATGATAATATATATATATATATATATATGGAATTGTTGGTAGGAATGGTTAAATAAAAAGCAATATTTGATAACTGGATAAGTTATGAAATTATGGAAGACGGGCGTTTAATCATAATGTATTCTGTGAAATTAAAACATTAAAAGAACGAGGAAGGTATTGTAACAAGGCAGATCATGTCAATGTTAGGGGGTGAAGAAAAAAATGTAACCCATGCTCAACACCTGCTGCAAAAGGTATATATGTATACATATATATGTTTTCTTAAGTTTTCGCGGGTATTTATATGTATGGTATTCAGCTTTGTTCGGGTATTTTCCCACATCATTATAGTTGTGCTTTTAAAGTTGTAGTTGTAGCTAGCACAACTATAATGACACAAACAAAGCTGAATACCATACATATATATGTGTGTGTGTGTATGTATGTATATATGTATATGTTTATATGTTTGTTTGTTGTTAAATTTTTTAAATATATGAATCTTAAACAACCTTTATTTAATAAATTTATATATATATATATGTATGTATGTATGTATATGTATATGTATGGTATTCAGCTTTGTTCAGGTATTTTCTCACGTCATCATAGTTGTGCTTTTAAAGTTGTAGCAACGTTTCGGCAGAATCTCATCTGCCAACATCAGGCTTCTATATTGTGTTCATATTCTGTATTGTGTATTCTGTAATTCTGTATTCTGACAAACACAGTTACGAAGCCTGATGATGGCAGATGAGATTCTGCCGAAACATTGCTACAACTTTAAAAGCACAACTATAATGATGTGAGAAAATACCCGAACAAAGCTGAACAAAGCAAGAGCCGGAGACAGAAGCCTGAAGATGATGAATGAGACTTCATCAAAACGTTGCCTAGATACTTCGAATCTTACGTGGGAGAAAACCCAAATAACCAAAGATCCACATACAAATATACGCGAGAACCTCAGAGAGAGAGAGAGAGAGAGAGAGAGAGAGAGAGAGATATGGATGGATGGATAATATGAGAATTTATACACTTCTTTAAGTGAGGACTACGTCGATGAAGCCCGAAAGAGTTGTAACCGACCGACATGCTGTGTGTAACTGGAAAGTGGTTTTAGGTTTTGTATAAAAATAAAAAATTGTTTACAAAAACAAAAAAGAACCGAGGGACAAACTTAACGGCCGCGGTGATTTGTGGCAAGAAGCGTCGTAAAAATGGGTCCTCGCTCCCTTAAGCGACGTCTCCCTTAGCGACGTAAATCCTCCGCCGTGGTCGTTAAGTCCGAGGACCGCACTGCAGGGAAAAGCCCCTCCGTCGGCAGCTCCACGGAAACCCACCCACCCGTGCCCAGCCTGGCTAGGAGCAGACGGGGGGGGGGTAAGGGCAGGGCGATGGTCGGGGGTCAGATAGACTTTGCCTGCTGGCTCCGGGCGGGGGGTGGGGGTGAGGATCTGCTTAAGAGGGGAGGGTGAAGGCTGCCTCCTCTGTGGGGAGGGGGTCTCCATGTGAGGTAGATCCCCCTCCCTCCTTTTCGGGCATCGTCCGATGCCCACCTTCCCTCTTGCCAGGCCCAAAGGTTTAATGGCCATGAAAAGGCTCTTTGTTCACGCTACACACACACACCGACACACCGACACACACACACACATGGTGCACGGATACACACAGAGGCACCTACAGTGGGAAGGGAGGGAGGGAGGGGGCACCTCTGGGTTGCAGCTGGAAGCGAAGGGGGCTGCCACACCCACCTGCCCACCCGCCGTGGGGGTCCCTCGGGATGCAGGAAGCCCCCTCTTGCAAAATGGCTTCTCCCACACAGGGGCCAAGCAGGGAAGGGGAGTCCCCTGTCCTCCCCCCCAGGCACAGGGGGCCCCATAGGGCCCCGAAGCCCCTCCCTCACTTGCACCCCACTCAGAGCCTGGGGGGGCCACCGCTCCACCCTCCACACCCCCAGGGGTGCCGAGGTGGGAAGCAGATTTTGGGGTGCACCTCCCCTTCCTTTGGGCCAGTGGGGCGGGGGGGGGCTTCTCGGGCTGGTGTTGAAGACCATCCTGCAACGCCCACCCCCCCACGTCCTCCCTGGCCTCAGGAGGGCTGAGCTGGGGTCTTCCCCAGAGCCCCCCCCCAAAAAAAACCTCCCCCCTGCCTGGGGCCTCCCTGAGGTAAGGCGAGCGGCCTACCTGCCCGGAAGGGGGGGGGCTTCTTCACGGCAGCCCCCTTTCGTGGGGAGAATGGGGGGGGGAGATTTGGCTGAGGAGGAGTCTGCCTCTTGGTCCCCTTTTCATGGAGACAGAGAAGAGAGAGAGATGATTGATAGATGATAGATAGATAGATAGATAGACAGATAGATGATTGATAGATGATAGATTGATAGATAGATAGATAGATAGATAGATAGATAGATAGATAGATAGAT